CCTAGGAGTAAATGGCTCGATTTTATTTTCCCCTAGGTTCAGCTACTCTGCGGAAGAGTAGGATTCATCTCACCAGACTGCACCATGTAGAAGATCATTGTTTGTTCCAGTCACCTTGACTGCACATAGGATGAAACTGATCCCTCTTTAAAGACACATATTTTTCTCCCTTGAATACACAGGGAGATGAAATGATCCACTCAAACCAGACTTATGTCTTTTGAATTCTAGACTGAACCATTTAATCTCACCATCTTACACAGGAGACAGATTTCCTGTCTCCTGTGTAAGAAGTAGGTAACAGCATTCATGTCCCTTCCTTTAACTCCCTTAAGTAAAGTTACTCAGTTACATAATAAGGTGACAAGTAACCCAACAAGTATATTAAACACATGGGATACTGAATGAGAAATGACAAGAGAATCTTTACGTCTATGATTAAATAATTTCACTTTCAGAAGATCACCAGAGACATTTACACTAACCATCTATATTTTCCACCCTGATTGTCCTTCCTGCTCCACCCCAGTATAACTCCTATTCGGAAGTACAATCTGTCCCTTTATAAGGCAGGCGACTGATAGTGTTTTCTTCCCAGAAAATTTACGTCACAAAACAAGAACTGAAATGAGATTTAAAAAAAGGTCTCATTATACCTATTGCCAGAAACCAGCCTGCACCTGGCTGAAGAGCTGTTGTATTAAAAAGGTGAACGGTGTTGCATACATAAAGAGTAGAGTGCATTTCAGGAGACTTCAATTGTCTAACTTAGGCATGGAATGTACATTAGTTATCTAGATATCTGCCCTGATATAAGTGTCTAAGAGAGTTTGGCAGAATCATCACCTCATGGATATGTAAGGCTGAATGGAAGAAGACTACACAAGGAGGATGTTTTAACATAGCTTTCTACAGACCTGATTTCCCCCCTTCAGGTTAAGCGTGGCAGGAATGGAGGAACAGTATTCACACATAACAACTCCAAAGAAATACTACTCCTGATTTTTTCAGACAGTATTAAACAGATAATATCTTCCAGTACCGGAGTCTCTGCTTTTCTGTCCATGAAATTCACAGCTTCTGGGTTTTTTTCTGCTTTCCATCTCTGATGTTCTGAAGCTCTGAGCTCATCTCGAAGCTCCATGTTCTGCCTGGTCAGCATCTCAACCTGGTCTCTCAGATTGCTGTAGGCAGCATGCCAGGAGGACTCATTTCTCTTGAACTCCTCCTGCAGTCCAGCAATCTCCTGTTTTAACATCTACCAGCAGAAAAAAAGCGTGCCATGTCATTGCCCGCTCTGGACTAGGCATGCCCACCTTATACAGCCCAAAGGAAGCATGGAGTCTTTTGCTCTGCGTAAAGGTCTACAGTATAAAGGTCTTCAATATAAAAAGAACATGTTTCAAATGATTTCTTAAAAAAAAAAAAAAACACCAAAAAAAAGCCCACCCAAACCAACATAAAACCACTACCCCTCAAACTCCTATATTAAAAACAAAACCATTGTTACAAAGTGACAAAGTGTCACTCGATGAGTGAAGGGAAATCAGGAAATGCAAAATAATCATGCAAACAAACACCATTAAATGTGAATGTTTTGGGTTTTTTTTAAATGCAAAAATACAAGGTATATTTTAATGACAAAAATGTCAGTTCGTCAGATCTTCATATAGTGATCAGGTCACATGAATAATGACATGGTCCTTACAAACAGCAGGGGATTACAAAGGTGTAATCTTCAGCTGCTTTCAGGAAAATGAAATTGATGAAATTCGGTGCATTTTGGAGAGGACGTTTCTGTATACATACATCTCCATTATTTTTCCCTACTCCCTTCTCCTTTCCTCTCTCGTGTGGAGGCCAATACTGAGTCTTTTTCCTTCAGAGCACTCATTCTGGATACCATAAATGGAATATTGGTGGAGTTCAGCTAGAAATGTGCAGTTTGCTCCATAGTCAGCCAATTGTCACATGCAACCCTTTCCTACTTCCCCTTCACTTTTATATCTGCCTACTTTTGTCCTCATCACAATCATTTCTTTGCTGTGAGCTGCCTGGTCAGAATTTGGCACATTCAGTGGCCATTTTCAAGAAGAAGCAGACTTCTGAACTTGGGAATCACTCAGATAAGTGACTCAAAGTGTTCTGTAATTGTTTTGTGGAAAATCAGAGCTTTGAACCTGTACTCATGTTACCAGATGGGAACAAGAGATTAAAACAATTCTATCAAACTTCATCTCTAAGGCTAGACCTAGTCAGGAAACACAGTTATTCCCTGGCAGAAATTCTAACAATTTTTTTTAAATCCTGAATGGAAAGAAAGCTGATGTTTCAAAATAATGTGCTGAGAGGACATTCAAATTATTTTTAATTCAAAATACTAAAATAACTTTACTGAAACAAGTAATTTATAATTTCCTGTTGTAAATATTGCCTCTACAGGAATATGGAACAACAGCAGAGGAAACACTCACTATGTGTATGGTAGAAAAATATGTATTTCAAATATATACAAATGAAAAAGTAAGTATAGAAAGTTTGAAAAAAGTACTAGCTTCTCAGTTTTATTTGCTCTGAAACTTTTCTGTTCAAGAAAATAATTGAAATTGTCAGTTTGCTGTCAAATATATCAGTTTGGTTTAGATATCATTTTGCAGCAGAACATTGTTCCAGACATTGCTGAGCATTACCATAGCCTACTCTTTTATCCTATCAAAATATAGCTTTCAGCTGCCCCCGTCTCTGTTTCTTTCTTTTCTTTATCATCAATTCTTCTAGAAGATTACTTAAAGTCACATTATGTCTAGCTGTTTTTAATAGGGATAATACCCCCAGATATTCAGATATTCCTTTCTCACTAAGGAGACAGAGATAGAAGATTCAGATTGAATCCCCTAAAGAAACTAGAAGAAACCATAATAAATGACCCAGGGATGTTATTAGGCAGGTTAGGTTGTTAGATAAACAGCTAGATATCATCAAAATAGCTCAAAGCCAAAGGTCAGGATAGTTTAAAGTAAAAAAATAACGAACTCCCAGCTCATGGATGAGAACAGAGAATGATGGCAAATAACTGTACCACTGGCACAGTGGATCTTCACAAAAGACGTGAAACCCACTATGGCAGGAGTTGGAAATTTTTGAAGAGCCAGCTGAGAGCTGGGCAAATCAGTACAAGGAATTATAAGGAATGTGTGAACCTCCCAACCTTCCTTAAGAAATAGAAGGAACAACCTGATTTTTTTCTTATTAATAAAAAAAAAAGTGGGTTGTACATTTAAAACACAAAGCAAAGCAATATCTTATTAAAATAAAAATATTTTTACTGTACACAGAACTGTCCTCAAGAAGTAGCATGAATAATTGGCCATCTGTGACAAATGGAAGGATGCAGGTACTACCATACGATGCCTGCATGGAAGGATATTAGTTGATAAGAACTGCATATTTATTCTACAGAAGACAGCTTACTTGTATTTCTTCTGATTTCCCATTTTCTCGGGTGACACTAGCTGTTCCTTTGAACTTTCTATGGGCATTTTTTTCTTTCTGCAGTCGGTGAATTTGGTATCTATTGTATTCCAAAGGGTGAGTCAGCTCCTGGCTCCTGAAAGTCTTGAGCTGGTCCACTGGTGTTCTGTTCAGAAGGTAAACAAAAGGTATGAAGTTGACATAAGTACTATAATGAAGGACTGTCTTCAGGTGCATCTTCTTTAGGCATGTTTTTTGTAGGGCTTGGGCATGTCCCATATATGCTGATACTGCTGGGAGTGGCAGCAAGTAACCAGCACCCGTCAAAATTGAGGTCCTTCAGCACTGGGAACACTCAAGCATGTGTTCAGCTGCAGAATTTGTTCTATTGAGCATATGGAAACAATTCTCATTGAAATTTTCTGACAACGTAATGACCATGAACTTTGAGGCTTTTAAATACGTTTTCTGTTCAGAGAGATAGCTAAATTAGGGCAGACCTGCAGAAGGAACAGCTTGTTCCCTGGTATTGCACCTATGAGGCACTTCATCATGCAAGGCTGGGGACTGAGCTGTATTTCCAGCAGCCAAGTCATTACTACAGATCAGAACAGCTATGGACCTGAATGGAAGGGAATAAAGTACTTGACTTTCCATAGTTAAATATATTCCAAGAGTTCAGTGTGGGAGCTCAGAAAAGGTTTTGCCTTTGAACTCAATGTCTTAAGTCTGGAGTGGTCTGAAAGTGAACTTAAAACTCAAAGAGGGGAAGAGTATAAATCTTTACATATCCTCAAACAGAGCATATTTGTATGACTGTGATCCAGCTGCTTAGTTCATTTTTAATATGATATTCAATTATTTGTTAGCTTCCTGCTTCAGCTCACTTCATGACATACAGCCACCATCTGGCCACCACTATTATGCGAAAAGCAACACGAGCTACGGGAGGGAGTCATGACCTCACGTTTTCCTCTCAGTAATGGACTGTAGCACTTCAACAGAAAAACATGAAAGTTCTCAAAGATATAAGCGATAAATGAACACCACATATCCTGCTGTTCTTTACAGTTCATTACCTAATTTTTTTTTTTTTGTTTGTTTTTGTTTTTGTTTTCTATCCTAAATAAGCCTGTCTACTATGCTGGTTAAAGGCATGCTTAAAAAACAAAAAAAATCTCAGCAATAGTCAATAGAAGTAATAATTCTCCTCATGTTAGTGCAATTAAATTAGAAAATATAGCCCATCTGTGATTATGGCCAGCCTACCACTGCTCCATATCCAGACCAGTTGCCCTGTGAAATACAACATACCAGAACGAAAGCAAGACAAGATCTATATATGACATCTTCCACTGAAGACTGAACAGTGCTGTCTTAGGTTTCTTGCAACCTGTCAAAAAAAATCCAGGTGGCTATTTCTTCCTGCATCTCAGCTGATATCAACCTTTTCATACCTGCACCAGAGTTACATCTGTACAAATTAACCACTCAGAGCTGGAGCATGAACCCAAGTGTGCAGTTGTCCAGAGCGCCATACTGCTAGCATGGCTGTTGGTCTTGTCATCAGCCATCCAGCACTGCACTAGGCCATGCCAAGCAAGGTTTGGAGGTTAGTGCAGGCCAGGGATCAGGTCCAGGAGGCAGCTCGGATGCAGCCACTCAGGTCTGCAGCATAAGACAGGTTAGTCGCATGGAAGTGTTCTTCTGTGCCTCTTCATCTCAAGGCTAGGAAACAGACCCTGGCCTGAGGAAATGTAGTAACCAAGGACAACAGGAGCACACACAATTCATCTTTGGAGCCTCTGATAATCAGTTCATACCCCAGCTATAAATTGCATTCAGTACTACAAGGAAAGTATGTATAAAAATATGACAAACAAGCTGTCCCTGTTGAAGGAACAAGGAAATAACCATCACTGTATCCTCTGACTGACGCCAAGAGCCAGCAGCAGCTACCTCAGTGCTGTAGGAGTAGAGCCACAGGCTGCTGCTGTGAGCACTGTCCAGGCTCCGTTACGCACCAGATACACACAACACGCTACATCTTGGCTGTTTTCACCCTCTTGCCTACATTATTTGAGCCTGCAAAGGTCTGCAGACAAAGTGCTTGGAAACGAAATAACAGACTGGGCAGGTCCAGGCATGTGGTGCTGCTCTCAAAAGGATTTTCATTGCTTTCAGTGAGCACAACTTCTCAACATGGCACAAGTGAAGTGCTGTCGGTATGGTGACCATCTTGTGTTCCTAACAGGGTTACTGGTTTAAAAATACAAAGCAGATTCTCGGATTGCATAAATTAGCACAGGGCCAACCCAGTCAAGAAGGGTAAGTTGCCTTTTGCAATTAGTTTTAGCTCATAAATCAGAAAAAGTGAGTGAAAAGATGTACGTGCTATACTAGGCAGGCATTTTTAGGCAAAAATATGTGTGTAAATGCTAGGAGGTACTATGGATAATGACATGAATAACTCTTCCATGGAAGAGTCTTTTAAAAACCTGCTCTATTGTGAAAAAATCAAAGCCCTGTCATCTCTGAGGCAGCACTGTCAGCAGGCAGAGAATGCAGTTCTGGCAGAGTACAGCACTGCAGCAATTCTGCACTAGTACATCACTCCACAGCCAACACTTACACCAGTAAAAGTAAAAGCAGCAGCTAAGTTCATGTTATGAACTGCCAAATCCCACAGATATTCACATCTGGAACACCTACAAGTGTCAGCCAGAGATCATCTTCCAACACATCCACAAGATCACAAACAAGAAGGATCTTTAATGAAACCATTTAATACACTGAAAGTATTTTGCTGAAATACAGCTATAGGAGGTAATGATACAAACTGATCATTCAGAAATATCCTTCGGCACTAATCCCATGGTCTTTGAAATCAAACTGAATGAAAAAGCAAGTGTGAAAAATAATTTCTTACTTTTCATTATATATTAAAATTAAAATCCAAATCAACAAATTATGCTAATTTGGTACTAGCAAAGACAAAAAGGGAAAGAATATCTCCTATGTTTACAGTAGATGGTACTGAATGATTTTTAACAGATTTCATCACCTTAAAAATACATATTTGATTTGATGTGATTGTAAGAATGCTCAATTTATATTAGAGGCATTTGCATAACCTGTAATTACAGTTGTGAAGGTGTTTCCTTTCCAAACCCCATCGTTTCCAAACTTATTTCTTGCAGGAATTTTGCAGTAAAAAAATATTTTCCTTCTATTAAGATGTAAACCAAACCTGAACAGTTGACAACATTTAATAATTACAAATTTAAAAAAGCAACTATTGAATTTTCAAGTTTTTCATTTATATGGTACCAAATGCCTCCTCAGCCTAGTCTGAAGATAGGTATTCCTGAAATAACAATGCTGTTGGCACTGACGTATGCTATACAGTTCTGGTGAACTTCGCAAATATGGGCTACCCTGATGTGAATGTGGTATGAGAATTTTATCCTTGACTTCATCAGAGGCCTGATCCCATAAAACAAATTATCCTGAGTTCTTACTGATTTCAGTGTAAACTGAAGATTTTAAGCACCTCATAAAAAGCATTTGGCATTACTCAGCTTTGAGACCCAAACTGCACCTGTGGTTTCAGAGTTGGCCTCCTCCAGTTAGGTGCTTTGCTTTTAATCTGGACAGCTGAGTAAGTGTTTCAGTTCAGAGACAACACAGATGCCCTCGAACAGAAGCTAGCTAATAAGTCAGAATTTAACAGCCTGATTTTAAGGATCCTGAAGGAAATATTTAGCTTACTGCACACATGAATAAATTACTGGTGTATGCAGATTTACCTGCGAAAGTGTGTTGCTTTCTCTTGTTCTTCTTTCACCTGAGTCAGTGAAGGGGTTCCTCTGGGGTATACACCAGTCTCTAATCCTCTGGGAAGTATGTTCTGGGTTTCTTCTATAAAGACATCTACGTTAGTACACAGAACTTTGTGAATATTTGTGAACCTTCTCTATGTGTTTAAAACCACAGGCTGCAAAAGTGCAGTAAGCTTTATTGCTTAATCTATCAAAAAAAATTAATGTGTCTTTGCCCAATTATGCAAGTGTTTATATTACATAATACAGTAATGCAGTATGTTATATGATGTACTATATAATATATTATATATTACAAGTAGTGTAATCCAAGCCCTACAGATCATTATAGGTGAGACTGATTTGGGGATATACTGGTGTCAGTAGCTGAATTCCTTTTCAGGAATGTGACTGCCACGTGATAGTTCAACCTTATTTGGAGTGTAACTTTCAGAGAGGCCTGAGGAACCCTTTTTTAAACAGCAGGCTGACGTAGAGTGCGCTTAGCAGGTTGTGACAGAGCAATTGAGAGCCATCAGAAGTGAGTATTTCTGCCCCAGCGATTACTGCAGGCAGCACAACTGATTTTGACTGATCCTACATGAAGAGACAGCCAATGGGTTTGGGATGAGGAGTCAGTGTTAGGGAAGTCCTTCAGTGGAAACTAAGAGAGAAGAAAAGTCAAGAACCAGTTTAACAAAAAGGACTAGACCCTGCTCAAGCAGGATAACATTTCATTGCCACAAGTAAGATCACTGGGCCAGAAGGCTGGAAAGATTGGTTGACCAAAGAGCTGGGACCACATTCAGGACAAGCTGAGTGAATATGTTCTTAGGAAATCATCATTTTCCACTGATGCGAGGCTCTTTTTTCTTGGGAATGAAGCATGCAAGTGTGAGAAATTATTTTGCCCACATTTTTTAAAATCACATTATCTCTGAGAAGGGTAAATAGAAAATGTAAACATCTCACTGTCAAGGGGTCAGTGGGAGGAACATTCCTAAGTTACAGGAAAATGTAGCACTGACTCCAGAGGCTCACTGAACCTCTCACCTGTCTCGTGGGGTCAAAAGTCTGCATCTGAAAGTGCGACTCCAGCAATAGACTTAGGAAAAATAGAGAGTGATGATGAAGAGCCAAACATAACAAGGGGGTTGCAGATATATCTCTCCCCTCTTATCATTTTTTTCTGTTTTAGGACTAAGAAATACTGACAGAACTGGGCAAACACCTAGAGAGCACAGGCAGAATGAGTCATAAATCCAAGAGGATTTTTTTCCTCTATGGAAAGTAAATGTAAATCAAAACTCAGGTAGCTCTTACCTAATTTGTCTGTAAACAGATTTTTCTGTGGTTCTTCCACTGCAGGGGTTTCTTTAATCTTGAAAGCAGGAATCTCACCAGCCACTGTTGGGGATGCCAGATACTGTTTTTTAACGTCCTTGGCCCTATTCTCATTCTTTGATCCAGGCTTATGCTCTCTCCTTTTTGATCTTGTGAGATGAAGTAGGGACTGCTGAAGAGAAGTGTGAGTCTTGCTCCCTTTCAGCCTGAAGTCCCCGGTACTGGAATAGCAGCTGCTTGTGTTGCAGGAGAGACCTTGTTGTCTTGAGATCGCTTGAATATCTTGTTTCCTTGGGTGTGAGCTGCTGAACATTTTAGCAGACATTTTTTCAGTTCCACTGGGCTCATCGCTAGCGTAATCACCATCAGAGAGATCCAAATGCCCGTCAGTACAATCTACTCCCTGAGGATGATGCTGGGGGGGATACTGGGCATGGTGAGATTTGGGGTCATCATCACTGCTGGAGGATAAGCAGCTTGACTCACAGGACAAAGATGCAACATGCCCTTTCCTTTGCCACTCCTGCCGCAAGTTCTCCACAGCCTCAGGTGAGCTAGGTGTAATTTTTACTATCTTGTCATTGACCATCTTAAACCCAGTATGGATTTGACTCTTGCTTTCTGAGCTCTGGCTCCCCAAAACAAGTTCCTGTGGGCACATTGGAACCCACTTCTGAGTCTGTGTGAATGCAGGGCCTGCACTCCACTCTGCTTCCTTGATGTGATCTGTTTCTAAATCCTCAGGTAAAGAATGTGTTTTCAAGACTTCCAAGGGGGCGTTTGCTCCCCCTGTGAGATGACCCTTGAGAAGCTGATCCACCCTACCTAGGTCCTTTTGCAGACTACCCTCCACAGGTCTTGCATCAGTTTTGCCTGCTTGCCCTAGAGAATCCATATGATGAGTTTCCCTTTTCTCACCTTCCTGTAGGTTCATTTCTGCTACTGTTTGAGGACATGGTTGCAGCATTTCAGGCCACCTTCTCTGTGGTAAGTCAACAGGATTTTCCTTTGCATCTTCCTTTCTCCCAATCACTTCTTTTTCTTTTGCACTTTCCTCAACTACTTTTGCTTCAGAGTCAGTCTGAGCCTTTATCTCCCACTCAGCTAAGGCACAGTCTGCTTTTTTTCCATGTGTACCCACCTGCATGGAGCTACTGACCTGCAGATTTAACTGAGAACAGTCCCCCGGCTGCAGTACGTCTGCATCCATTTGGCTAGGCTGGGAAAAATGACCCAAATAGTTCAAACCAGCTCTTCTGGGATGCTTGCTGTCTTCTTTAAAAGGCTTCTGTTTACTTTTTTTGAGTCTTGCCATACCTTCTTTTCGTTTCAGAAAAGCCTTCCGAGGTGTTACTTTTGCCTTGCTCTGAAAAAAACACCAAAAATCCTGACAATCACAGTCTGAGAATCAGCCTCCAGAAAAGAAGATATTGATGATAACTGAAAAAGCTGAGACACTGGAAGTCTTAAAGACACTGGCTATGGATGACTGAGTATGTAAGTAACAGTCCCGAGACTGCAGGGAAGGTACGAGAACTTTTTGAAGCAGTAGGTTAGTAAAGTCAGATGGTTAAGATGGTGCTAAGTGTTTATATGGTAGAAGATGAGAAAAGCTGTCTGTCTTTGATTTTAGAGGAAGCTTGAGTGTTTTTCACAATGTGACACAGAATTATATACATGCATCAGTTTAAGATGTTATTTTGCCAGGGAGATTTAAAGAAAATTCCTGGGTGATGAAATGTGCATCTTCCAAGTCAACAAGCCTAACAATGTGCCGAGTCTGACACCTAGAGGTGTCAGACATAAACTCATCTCTAACTATACATAAGGCAAAAACCAGAACAGTATTACTGTACTTGGCCCTTGTAAACAAACTGTATTTGGAAATGCCCCCATTTTTGTATAAGTGACACATGAGGGACTGCAAGGACCACTTATTATGAAATGAACTATCGGAATCAACCTTGAGGTCTAACTTAGCTAAGTATGTTGAGACTCAGGCACAAACTATGACACAGAAATTGTGTGGAAAGAGAAGAATCCAGTTGGAAACAGTGGGGAATATGACTGTGACTGAGTAACAAGGTTTTTTTTTTTACTTTTGGGAAAAATTTTTCAGTATCACATGAAAGGACAGTGTGAAAATGTGCTGTGATGCAGTAAGCCCAAACAGAGCCCACACAATAGCCAAGCCCATGAGAACTTGTCAAAACCAAAGTGAATGCACCGATGGCATAGTACCTGCTGCTCCTTCTGCTGTTTTTCTATGAGATGATGATTGCCTACTTTAAGCTGTCCTTCAACAAATTCTTGAGAAGTCTTCTCTCTAATACCAATTGCTGGTGTGATTGGCCTAGGCAAGGAACAAGAAGGTACTTATTTGTAAGGTTCTCCAATTAGCTTTCTTTTGATAATTATCACAGAGCTGATGTTGAGTTTAGAACTGAAATGTTCACTGCAATTTTTTTTTAAATGTGAAGCATGTTAGCAAAGGGCCCACTATTATGTAACATCTAAGTCTCACTTTAACTCATCCTCGTCTAGACTAAACATTAATTATGCTTTTAGCAGGTAAAATTTTTTGGCTAGTATCAATGACTCTTTAAAAATAGAAAATAGTCAAAAGGAAAATTATTTCAGGGATCTTTTCCAGACTGGAGCTGGTTACAGTCACAAAAAACTCACTAACTCTCTGACAGAGTGGTTTGGATTAGCTGGTGAAGAGTGATAGAGGAGAACAATAACGTCTATAATGTTGCAGAGGGACAAACTGAACACTGGCTCAAAATGAGGCATAATACAGCATACATGAACATATCTTATTTCATTGGAAATGCACTTAGAGCCTTAATTTAGTCAGTAATAATTTCTACTGAATAATAAAAAATCCTGAGTTTAACGGAGGTACTGGTTATGCAGCACTTGACTGTTCTTTCTATACCCCACCTCCACATAACACCACTGTGCCATGGATAATCTTTCATCTGGCTCTGTCTGTTAGCATGCAGCATGGCCTAATAGGATTAGATTTATAGAGCAAAACTCTTGTTGCTGACGACTCGGCATTAGACAATAAGCATTTCAGAGAAGTTTACTTCAAGCCAACGATAGCTGGTCCTACAGTGAAAATGTCACGAAGAGCTGGAGTACATTCCATGCTTTAGTTTCATCCAGTTCTTGTTAAGACCACAATGTGATCCAAGGCACAAGTGGGGGTAAGTGGGAGACAGATTTCAGAACTCCCTTGGTACAACTGTGCTGGTACAACTCCTTTTGCAATGTAGTGACTAACCAGATCAGAGAACTGATCCGTGTTAAAAGATACATTTCTCCTCTCTCCAGATGATTTTAACAGGGATTACTTCTCTGACCTGTTGACTATACAGGCACATTAAAAATTGATCCTGGTACAGCTGAAGAGGTACAACAAGGATGAGAATAAGTGAGCTACTCAGGCAGATGCTGCCATCACAAAATGTTGGCCACTGCAGAAGAAATGATGGCATAACACAAGATGTTCTCTCCCTGTCATATTTGGCCTTACTTCTATCTTTTGAAGACCATAGTTACAAACCCAGTTCACTTAAATTGGTAAATCAGCATCTTATTATATAGATCAACTGCCAGGCCCTAGACCTCTCCAATCTCTGCCCATGCATACCTACCGCTTTCAAGCAAAGGAAAGAGCTTCTGCCTTGCAAATATAACATATGCAGTATGTGTACAATCAAGGAAAACATGCTCTTGTCGCTTGACTGACTGATTAAGATCATTTCTCACCTGTCTTCTATGTTTCCAGTCTTTATCTTAACCTCTATGCCAAAGGGAGATGAAGAAATTTCCTCCTTTACTTGTTCTCTTTGTTGTTCTTTGACAGCAGAAAAAGTTTCAGGGGAAATTCTTTCTTTTAATTGATGGTTATCTAAGCAGCAGGAAAAGGGGCAATGAAAACAAAGCCCTTATGAAATGAATAAATGAAAAATAAACATAATAAAATAAATTGGAAATGTTTTTATTTTCAACAACATATGCAAGATTCATATTTTTGAAAACACTTCATAAAATACAATTGAATAAAGTAGGTGGAAGGATGCAATCCATGAAAAAATAAAAAGGGGACCCTGATCCTGAAGTCTAGTTGCTGGAAATAAGAAAAAGTCAAATGATATGATTTTTACTCCTTTGAACTAGAGATCTGTGGTGCTTGGGTAATGTGCTTACTGCAGAACATAGCAGTGGAGACACTTTGTTAGACAGTACTGAACTACTCATGTGTCTGTAATTATGTGACCTGCAAGCCAGTTCATTAAACAGTTTAACAACCAGTATTTGTACACAGGAGACTTTCTAACTGTGTGTTTTCTATTCTGTTTCACAAAAGTGCAAATTTGTACATCCTCCTATGGAAGCTCACTGCCTACATTTGCTATGACAAGAAGGCTTCCACTTAAATTAAACCTTTTTTCTAAGTGTCAGCTAATGGAGATTTGCCTGTTTAGTTCAAGTTAGGCCTGTCAGCTGGAGCAAAAAGCCTTTATTGGCTCATTCATACTACATACTGTTTCTGTAGCCAGGAACTATAATAGCTCACTTCATCACATTAATGCACCCAGTGTGACTGACGTCCTTTACAACATACTGAAAGGACTTTCTGGTCCAACAACAGGAATACACCTCACCTTCCCTCACCTTCTTCCAGCTACACATCAAAAATCTTCAGTCTGACAAGAGACAAGCAGTGCTATTTCTTCAACCTTCTCACCTGCCTTGCACCAGAATACAGTGGAGGAGGCAGAGGTGACACAGCAGGGTGACGGCAACAAGGGACACAGAACCCATGTGTCCTTCCGCACAGTAAAATGTGAGTGGCTATGCTGTCTCCAGAATATTCTAATAGGAGAGGTGCCTCGCCACTGTAATTTTCAACTAGTTCTTCCCAGTGCAAGGCAAGAACAATGTGTCCAAGTAGCTGTGCAACTCACCTTTGCTTTCTTTTCTGTTCTCTTCTTGAGCATCTTGTCTGGAAAGTTTTTTTGTGGGGCTCTCAGTACACTGAAGCAATGGCTCAGTGCTTATCCCTTTAAGTAAGAATGGGAAGTGTTATACAAGCTGTTGGTACACTCATGTTTATGTTTCCAGCAGTAAAAACCCACACTTGTCACAACAGTCAGGGAGGTCTCCGTTCAGCCCAGTCCTCAAGCACACCTTCAGCTGAAGCATATTTCAAAGGCAACTGCACTGACCAGCTTCCAGTCAGGAGTTAACCCGATGTACTAAGGCCTCTGCACCTTCAAGCCTTAGTTTTATACCCACGAAGCATGCCTAAGTCAGCCCAACTGTAAAAAAGCAGTCATACTTCCCTGTGTGTGTTCTTGCTCCTAGGTTCCTGCTGTCCTCATCCACACCCTACCGTTTGTTCTGGCAGAAGTATTTCTGAAGTGCTCCGATAAACTTTACTGGGCAACTGACCCAGGTCCAGGTTCACCCAGAAAGAAAGTAAAAGTGCCAGGCAGAAGATGGAGACAAGACCCTTTCAGTGAGGGTACTGGTCCTGAGCTAGCATGAAGAATATGGAATTAAAGTTTCAGTTGTACTATGGGACTGTCTCACAGCATCCCAATCCAGTCTTGCTATAAATGTTCAAAGGAATCCAGGATGCAGGATTTGCATCCTCTTCCCCCTTATGTGGTTTCATTCCCACTTCTTTTTGTTCCTCTTCTCCCCATTAAGAAATCAACTTTTGATGTCTTGCAAATTACTCTTTTTTTGTTTCTCACCCTTTGGTATTTTCCCACAGAAGGTAAGGCTGGCAAAGGGTAGCGAAGAGAAGATGCCAAGTAGCAGCTTACATTGTTTTTCCTCCAAATGATGCAACTCCCTATCAATGTGAGAAACACCAAGAATGCTGACAAAGAGCAGGCCTTCTTAGCTAAAGAAACATGTCCTCTCACCTTTGGAAGCTATATCCACTTCCTATATGTATGCTTTCCCTCTAAATATAACGTACTCCCTACTTCATATAACTTAGCTTTTCTAATTTAATGACTTTCTGCTTCATGTACATCGACAAGACTCAGTTTCTCTGTCATTATGAAAGGCAGGATGACTGTGATTGAAAAAGTAAAAAAAATCACGTTTAAAACACTTTAAAAGCTTTTTTAACAAACCACCATATAAACAAAGCACCTTCCCCTGACTTCAATAAAATCAGTAACAATCATTAGCAAGGCCAAAAATTCACAGGATTTGCACAATAGTCTCAGCTCCAGATTTCCAGCACTTTTTACCCACCTGAATCTGAAAGCTGCACATGGTCTCCTGAGATTTCTGAACTGCTCTCATTTGGCATGAACAGCGGGGATCTGCTTTGCCAAGCAGAGCGCATGGGAAAGGGAGAGGCCAGTGAGCACTCCGGGCTCTCAGCTTTGGAAGAATTATCTGGTGGGAACTGGACAGGGATGAAGGTAGCCGGGAAGCATGGAAGGGATGGCATTGTGGCTACTAGGTGGGAAGGTATCCCAGGAGAAACAGAAAGGCCTAAAAAAAATTGCCAGAGAAGAAAAAATAGAGAAGCCTAAGACAAATATTTTGCACCAAACTAGAAAACTCTTGCTAAACTGGTATTACACCAAAAAAGTTTTGCTTTCTTTTTCCCTGGTGGTTTGCGTGTTCAGAGTGCAATAATCAAATTCTGGTTTTGTTATTTTATTTAAATTGTAAAATGTGCTCGCTGCAACCACCAGTCATAACCAAAAGTATCGTATGCTACAGGGATGTTGAATTAAAGAGAGTTCACAGAGTACTCCTCAGCACGTAAAACACATTTCCCCTAGGACTCCGTAAGTCCCTTAGCAGGTAAAAGTTAAGTATTGCAAAGTGTCTCTGAGGCACTCCTCAGTGCAAAAGAGGGAAGGCTTTCCTTTTAGCTCCAAATGGCTGGTTACACATTTTATTAGAACACTTCCAAGTGGAAAAGATTTAAGCAGTTCTGCACAGGGACCAGAGGCCAGGCTCACTACTTCTAGGAAAGAAACCCCTTCATAAGGTTACAAGATTGGTCTCGCTTCTTATTTTCTCTTTCCACACTGATCCCTTTCTGTCCTGTGACCTGACCTCAAGAAAAAAAACAGAGAGTGCTTGCAACTGGAATTGCCTCAGCTCCCAGATAGGGCATTTGTTGGAAGAAGGCTGATCTGTAGATTCAAATCCTGCTTGGCACAGACTCAAAGCAAATCCTGCTCACTACTTCTGGACAGGTGCTCTACCCATGCAGCTAGCAGGTGAGCAGAGCCACTTCTGTCTGTGCCACCATGTGACGTTAAAATGACAACCTGTACTTCAGTGAGGTCTTGATTTTACTGCTGGTCACTGTATTATTTCATTATATGCATGGCAATACTCAGGCAACTACCTTTATCATAATAAGAAATCATAGCCCTAGTAGTTCTTCATCTTTTAGCTCTTTAAAGCTTAATGGGACTGGGTTATGCAATGTCTTTTGGTACCCTCAACCTGCACTGCCTCGACTTACAAATGAGAAATTTCAATGCAGGTTTTGGTCAGCTTTTCATTCAAGTAATCATTTTGTCTGTGGCTTCATACGTTACCTGGATGTACCTGGTAAATATACCCAATCAGCATCCTGTCAATCTATTTCTTACTGTATGAGCTTGGTCTTGAGTTCATGATACTAACTGTACTTGCTTTCTTCAGAAATGCATCAAGTGATTTACAGCACTGGGGCAGGGGGATGAGGTTAGCATGATGCAGTGTAGCAGGACCCAAGGCACTTTCCTTCTCAAGAACCTGAAGTGGTACAACCTAACTAACAGAACACGTGACCTTCAAACAGATGTGACACTGACGTCTTTCTCGGGTGTCTCATTCCCCTCAGATTCTCCCTGCTAAAGCCAGGCCAATGCTGTCACAGGTCTACATGATTTCCCTAAGTTCTTCTTTCACCATACGGTCATGTGACAAGGAGAGTGTGCTGCTACTCTGGACAGGGTGGGAAGTGGGGGACTCCTCTTTTTCTGCTTGTTGAGCGTATTGTGTTTACTGGCAATGCCACTGCTAAAATGAAGCTGTTCAGGGAGTTGTACCATGCTGTGAGGAACAGGATGTACTATTAAAGGTAAGAGTCTATTAACAGAAGCATGGCCTGTTGACTTTCTTCCTCTTCTTTTTTCCACATAAAAACTGTAAGTTTCATAGATAGGTACAGGAAAAAAAGAATATTTTGGCTTTTCTGTAATGCTCAAGACTATACCAGTATTTTCTGCAGTACCACTCAAATCCATACTTCAATAGAAGTCTGTACAGGAGGTGTGTTATTAAACATAAAGGGTTCCACCTTATGGTTGTCCTGGAATTTTAATATACAAAAGTGGAAAGACGTGTTTTCTGGGGCTTACAGTTTGTGTATAATGTGAATGTGTGTAAACGAATGTTGTAGCATATCTGCCAGAGGAAGAGCGCCCAGCCACTGAAAACAGCTATCAACCTTCACTTTCTTTAAGGAACTGATGCATTTCACTGCTGGAGTGCAAGCATCAGCAGGTGAGGGTGCCAAAGCATCAGGAGAGATTCTCCAAGTACCTGGGTTGTAAAGTGCGATGATTTTCTGCTGTTCAGCCACCAGCCTTTGCAGCTGCTCCATCTGCTGCCTCATCACCTGGTCCTGCTGCCCTGGAGTCTGAAAATAAAATGAAGATATAGTATCAAATTACACTTCTGGATGGTTTTTAAATCAGGAGGAATCACCATTTCTGGACTTCGGGGATAGGTATTTCATTAACTTTTAATAAAGAATGTTGACATTTGTATTTAAAACTGTTGCCAACGTACAACTTAGAAGTGTACACTGACACTGCAGACACTGTGCAGGCAGTATGAGCCTTGCCATGATTGGCTACTCAACCTCACATCAGCCAGCATTTTCTTCTGGTCTATATGCTGGGGTTTCCTTCCCACAGAAGCTAAAGCACAAAAGGGAGGGAAATGTCCACCCGTGTTTTGCACCAAGAAGGTGTTAGAACAGCATCAGAGCAGATGACACCCTCAGGACAGGCTTCACTCTAAAAATTCAAAATGTGCCAGTGTCCAACATTTCATTGTTTACTGAACTATCTGATAAATGGAAATTACCAGTATTGTCGATGAAAAGCAGCTTTCAAAAGTCAATATCCACAGAGCATGTATGCAATTAGGAGGAAAGATGAGCATAGTCTGAAATTAGGGATGAAAGGATAGAAGAATAAATCCAGTCTTTGACTCCACAGAAATCTTCACTAACAGGGAGAAAGGACTGACTCTGACTAAATTGCTGCCACTAGTTTCTCAGTCCTTCTGCAGGCAAGGCACTGCCCCTTGCCTCCCTGCAGGTACACTCCTATCCAACTAGCCTTGGCCTGCTGAGTTTCCCACTTTATTTGACTCATGCTCCTGCTCATCTGTGTCTTCTGTTCTGTCCACTGGGAAGAACTACCAGAGATCAGTAGTGCAAGAGGCAGGTCTTTTTCTCTCTCTCTTTTTTTTTTTCTTTGATTAATTGTGAAGTACCAGACCTGTTCCAGAACTAAAACTTACAGCATAAAGACACCCTCATGTTGTTGCTTTGCATGGAGCTTACCAGCTCATTTTCACTCTACTGCCTCTGTCCAGTATCACTAAAGAAGCACCATGTAACAAAGCAAATAGGAAGTTCCATTTTTCTTTACTAGACTCTTTGAGAAGATTTCAAGTAATTCATGTAGTCAAATGCCAGAAGCCACCAAAGAACAAAGAGTGCCCGAGACCCAGTATCAGATTTTGTAACCAACTGTGGACAGTTTAGAATATCATGGGATACATTCTGGTCATTAAACTTACTGATCTGGTTTATGTCATCCAAGAAAAGAAGTAGCAGACTCCTGGGACTCACAAGAAGTTATCTTCAACTGCAGCCTTAACTACATTAATGCTTTCTCAACAACCAAGGAATAACAGGTTTCCTGTCCCTGTATGTAAAGTACTAAAGTCTTCATTAGACTGAGAGCTGAAGGTGGTGAGGACTCCTGACTGACTCTTAGGTATCCCCTTGAGAAGGGCAGTGCGGAATTGGATCCCAGGCCAACCTCAAAACCCAGGCCAGCAGTCCTCAGCCACAGGACATTTAGATGGTCAAGGAGCCACTACACTGGCACAGTCCAGCTGCAGGTCTCCTGACATATTGACTGAAGAACAACAGTTTTCCCAGCTCTTGTCTGTTATGCAGAGGTGGTACCAACAGTGTCAAGAAAAGAAGTCCTGAGGTGGGCTCAGGGCAAGAAGCAGACGATGCAGCCTTGTAAGCACAGGTATTTCTGGTTTTGACATCACCAAAAAATGTTGAAATTATGATAGACTTACAGTGGAGAAAATGCTGAGAACTGCCAGCACAGACACATCCTAAATAATAAATTATATAGTGCTGGAAACATAAGACTTTCTTTAAAATATGCAACTAAGGCACTCCATTGTTTACTGTCTTAGGAGAAGCACACAGAGCACTCAGTGGAAGAGATACTGTGGAGTTACACCTCTCCATCAGTTTGTCAAAACTGAGAAGAAGAGGAAGAAGTCAGAAGTGGAAAAAAAGATAAAAAATGAGGTGGATCGTGAGAAGAGGACTAATAGAAAGACATATGGAAATAAGAACATGGACACGTCCCACAGCCATTACACACATGAGAACATGCAATCTTTTTGCCAGAGGGAGATAGCGGTAAGTATCAAACAAGAGAAAAATTGATTAATTGTCTCTTGGGAAAAAGGACTTGATTGCATCGATGCATTAGGGCAGCAGCATCAGACACAGGGTTATGATACACTTCTTCCTGAAGAGGCTGCACAACTATCATAAATACACAATATGCAGTTATAAATTCAGTGATTATTTAAAGCAAACTGACCTCTTCCATGTTTTTGTAGGTGGGAGCACAATGGTTCATCCCAGGCTGTGAGGCAGGGAACAGAGAAGGAGTGAACATTTCCAAGGTGTCACTTGCATCATGAATTCCAACCTGGGCTACACTAGAAGCCAGCTTTGGAGGAAAAAAATCAGAGCTGGCCAAATAATGTAATTGCCTTACCTGCTGAAAAGTTTGGTTGTGGCCCAAGCTGTCTGTTACATTACTGTTGCCCATCATACCACTGCCTTCTGAACTGTATAAAAGTGGGCACTGTTTGCTGGAGGACTCACTCATATTCTCAGCCCAACCTGAGGATAAGGAAGGCATGACCTTCTCAATTATTATATTGGAAGATGATACCATGCTTGCCAAACCACTGGCAGTCTGCTGTGACATATGATCTTCCTCCTTCAAAGCATCTGTTTCCATGTCCTGCTTTCCAAAATCTATGTTAGGGATGTGCAGTAAAAAACACCATGAATAAATGTGTCATACTGGCATAGTAAATCCTGTTGTTAGTCTTTTTACCTTTTTCTTTTTTTTCATCCGTTACTTTTTTAGCCCAGGATGAATGTAGACTATCTTGTGACTTCAGAAACTGTAAAACATACATACATATAATCCATAGCTATATGTAAATATAAATATTTAAGGTTATATATATATATAAGCATATATAAATACACATATATAAATAACAAATGCTGTTAGAACACATGCAATTCAAAAACTCTATAAAATCACAGTAATTCTGCCAGCCAAAATGGCTTAGATGTACTGCCCGCTCTCTCACCATTAAATCCTAAAGCCTCAGACAAACAGGAACAGATGTAATTACAATAAAAACCGAAACCCAGTCACCTCTAGAAGCATTTGCCAAAGTATCCTGACCTTGTCTTTCAGCTAAATCTTCAGCCTTTAATTTCAGAGAAAGTGCTGAACATCTGAAGATGACTGAAGAAATCAGGGAATAGAGATAACAGGAGGAAACGATAAAACAAATGGCACATGAAAAAAAAAAACCCAAACAAACAAACAAAAACACCACTAGAAAATCTGATATTTAAGTAGCTCAGAAGAATGTTTATTTCAAAAAGATAGAATGACACTGCTACAGCTTGTATCCATTCTCCTTGAGACCGGTATGGCTGAGAGCTGTGCAACGCAGACGTTCCCCTCTTTAGGCACTTGGCTCCAGTCCTTCCAAGGTAGGGCCAGGCATTTGCTACTTACCTTAAAAAATTGGGGTGGGGGGATGTATTTCAGCAGCTGAAGCTAGTGAGCTCTCCCATCTTGTCTGCTTTGGGAGGATTCAAAGGTAGTTTTATTTGCACTTTTTGAGAAACATGGAGTCTTCAAGCACTTCACTCACTCGCAAGAAAATTATTTACTGCTTTCTTCCTACTGGGAAGTAAGTGGTTTGCGCAAGACGTATACACACCCTACCAGGTTCGATATTTCTTTGACAGATCCATCACGTGTAGCTAGGAAACCTTATGTTGTTTGTAGGCTTAAACTCCCTTTAGGGTAATTCGCAGTTCTACTAGAAACATCTTGGTAACCTACCGATCTAGACCAACAGAAGTCCAGGCTGTCTGGGGCAGGTGCTTGTACGCTAAAAGAACAACCCTACAGAATGGATCTTCAGTAGGAGTGAAAATAAAAGGAAGCAGATGTAGTGAAGACAGAGGACCAGGCAGGGATAGATCAGAAAGGATGGGGTAAGAAATCACATTTAAAGAGAAGAGCAGAGCCTGTGACTCCACACTGCAATTCCCTCCAAAGCCTAAGAGAGAACACCAAATTCCTGAGTCTCCCGGTTACTCTGCTGTCAACAGCAGTATCGGTTGCATCCTGGTGTTGCACAGGATATGATGATTTGCTTCTCCTACAGGTCCCCACTTCAGGTCAAACTCAAGTGGAATTAAAATTCCAACCTGCCAGTGATTTTTTCCAAGTATAATGCTATTTCCAAGTTGGTTGGAGGTTTTTTTGTTTGACATTTTTTTAAAACCTAGGAAACAACGCACACCCACAGAATTCCCTTAGCTATCTGTAGGGCACAAAGTTCAAATGCTGAGCAGTTACGAGCTGCCAGCATGAAGGTTACCCTCAGTACTAAGGGGCAATACAAAGGCTGTTGGTGGCCTGTTCCACTGACATCACCTTTTGCACCAGGTGCCTGGAGACTCCATATCTGGGTAGTGCTTTCTCCAAACCACAAATGAAGGAAACAATCTGAAGCCTAAGAATGGTGGGATCTGGAAAGAGGCAACATTTGCCAAGAATCTCTCCAAACACATATTTCGCTTTAGGCACCACACCCACTGTACAACAGGTAAGGAATTATGAACAACTGGATTTTGTGAGGAAACCTCCCTGACATCATCAGCAAGGAAAAGATACTCCAACCTTGACACTGATAAGGAGCTCTCCGAGTGACTAACTTGACAGTGTCAGCTTTTATCCCACTAAAACTAAAAATAAATTCCAATAACTATCACAGGTGATCATCTCCATCAGTTCAATACACTGTCATCTCAGAAAGGCAGGAGGGGTGTATTCTTAAGGTATGAGGTTTCATAGGTAAAAAATAATCTGTTTATAAAAATTAACACTGCCTAGGCTGGTAGGTGACTTTAGTTTGGGTGAGAAACCGAACACTAAAACTTGCTCTGGCATAAACATTTTCAGTGTTTGCTTTCTCATTGTTGTGGATCGCCAGGGAATCAGTGAGCAAACAGCAGCTCTCACCCCCAGCCCTGATCCCTTCCTGGACTGCACCACCCAACCAAAGGCACACTGAGCCTCCCCCTCCCCAGGAGAAAAGCAGCTGCTCAGCGCCTGTGTCCAGAGCAGTCAGAACTGCTTCCATGAGGCAGAAATACCCGTGTGCCTTGGCAGCCATCGGGAGCAAACAAGGAAGCGCGGTACAGGCTGACATGGTCTTGAGAAGTGCTTGTGGGAGTTCTCTGGTTAAACGGGGTTTTTTAACCTAAAAACTATTATGAAGACTAACATGTTTTATCTGAGGTAGTCTCCTAATAAATACTAGAAAATCAGAGCTGTTGGTGACGGGGGCACCCCAGGAAAGCCTTCTTCCTGTAGCACTCTCTGAAAGACTTACAGGAGAAGAATTTTCCTAAACCCTGGAGCAGTTCCCAAAGTGTCTCCCTGCTGCAGATAGCAATGAGAGTTTATTATTTGTAAATTTTCCTTTTGTTTCTTTAAATCGTATTATTAAGGGTGGACTAATAGCAGTAAGCTTGATGCATATAGATAAAACAGAACAAGGAAACATAAACCAGTGGTGATAGTTTTCTTCTAAGCAGCACAGAATACAAAACATTCAACAAGCGTTGAGATGCTAGACTTATCCTGTGCTCACTGCATTTTCCAAAATCTGATTGATTTATTAGTCTATATCTGCACTGCTCTGATACTTAACAATGCCAGGCACAGATCTTGATTCTTCTCTGCTGGGAATGGTACAACCCTATAACAAAATGACACTTTATTTCATAATCTGCTTATGCAAATAAGTATAGAGCTGTCTCATGGGTTATGTTGGGCTTCTGTAAACATGAACATACAATACAAAAAACAAGTATAGTATAAAAAGGATGAAGTTTGTCTATTAATTCCCATTAGCTTCTGTATGCTTTGGGACATGTCTAAACTGGTACAATGAAAAACATCATACATCAACATCAAAAATCCACTTATTTTCTTCTTTTAAAAACACCAAATAATTTCAAAAAAATACTTAGCTAGACAATGAATTTTATAGGGGGAAACAGAACTATGGGTAATTCCAGAGCAATATCTAACTCTTTACACATCAGAGCAATTCCGGAGAAAAGCAAGGTTGGTATCAAGTTAAACAAAACAGAGTTTCCAGACAGTTCCTGGCAATATTTAGTACTTAATTATAATCTTCAAGTCTTCTGTTCTAGGAGACATGCTGACAAATACATTTAGAAAGTGTATAGGGTGATCACAGTTTTTGAAGTTATTAATGAGTTTGTGATATGTTTATATTTGCTTACTTTTCATTATACTTTAAGATCTATCCTTCTTATGCAATATGCAATTGTTTGATGATGTAATAGGAAATAATACATTTATTTAAGGTGAGAAACATAACTCTCTATTTGTATCAAGTTGCTACTTGTTCCATATGACCACAATGGCTGGTGCATTTGAAAGCTACTGACAACTGATAAAACTCATTACTGTGATCACTGACATCAAAGACTAGCAAATTATTTCTAATCTATGGTCAGTTCCACATTATGTTGTCTCAATATTTGCCACCAGAACATTGTTCATGCTATTGAAGTCAAGATGTGCAGTGAGACAACACTTCTCACTCCCAGCTGGAGCAGCTCAGCTGGACCTTGGCCTTCCGCCTCTGCCATGGCAATACTTTTTTCTGCAAAGTCTGCACACTTTAACATCGGCATTTCCAGCGTTTCCCCATCTTTCTCCAAGTGGATGCCAGGCCTCCTCCCAGTAAGACACTGCCGTCCACCTCCCTAGCAAAGTGGAGTCGTTAAAAGCAGCCAAAATGTAGACCATAGACTAGTTCTACTCTTTTCAATTTTTTAAATCTCTCCTTTTCACTCAGGTGCCAGCAGCATGGGCAGCTGCCTGCCCAAACAGCCTGTGCTGTGGCGTGGAAGTGTGCAGCAGCAGTGCTACCGCCATACTCAGCTTTTTGGGACTTGCTCCAATTTTTTTTGGACCAGCAGTTTCAGACCAAGCTCATGACTTGCCCCTGGATATTGCTGCAACAGTGAGGGCTTGCTCTTCCTGAATCAGTAACTTGTTAGTGAGATTTGTTTACTAGCTCTGAGTGTACACTACTAGCAACTTAGTAACAGTATCCACAGTTCAGTGTAATAATCCGGTTGATATGAGTTGCTCTCATTTAAGCACAGTTCATTTGCTATCTACCATTTTGGATACTTCAGGTTACTGGAACTATGTAGAATTGATCTTGGCCTCTGTAAAGACTCCCCAGGAGAAGTTTCTGTTGCCTTGCGTATTGCTCATCCAAGTTGCACTACAGCAGAATTGTCATCACAGTTGAAAACTTCCACATCAGTTGGGTTTTGGGTTATTTTTTTTTCTTCTTTCTCATTTGTACACCATTTCATATACAAAAAGAACTATGTTAAATGTAGGATGGTTTAGCTACCTGTTAAATATGATCAACATTCTGAAAATGT